CCGGTCATGTATGCCTTCAGTCTGGATCAATCCACAGAGTGTTTGTGAACAAAGCTCATGATAAACAACTTCCATGCTCAGGCAGACATGAAGAACTGTCCACATATATTTATATACAGTTTATACAGAAAACGTGGGGATAACATCCAGAAAAGGCCGATATGAGAGCGTGGACGTAGGCAGGACAGCAGTAAACTAATCAGATTACAGCACCTGGACCGTGTGTGACAGCATATCTACATTAAACACTGCTCTAATATGCATAACAGCATCTGTGACTAACAAAAATAACAATAAAAAATGATCTTTGACAGTGTAAGAAAAACAGGATATTGTCTTTAACAGCTGACTAAAATCCAGCAAGCAATACATGTGGCATTTCCTGGTTATAAAAAAACAAACAAACGAAGGAGAGGGCGAGGTCGTCCTCTCCTCGTTCATTGGCTGGAGCCCCGGCGCTTTAGTACACGGGGCTGTTGCGGATCCCGCAGCACAACACCATGCTGAAGATCATCTCGAAGATCTGAGGAAGAAGAGGAAGCTGTCAGGGCTGCGTCACAACATTACATCATTACAGCATCTACGATTTCCACTCGGCGACAGCATTCATGCGCTCGCGCCGCCGTCCGCCTCCTGATTATCACTGAGACTCTTTTTGACACGAGAAGGTGGGACGGTCGTCTTCGACCGAGGGAGCAGCAGCGCATCAGCTTCACTAACGCACCAGGAAAGACTCGGTTTTCTCTGCGTTTCACAGACTTCAGTGCTGTCCTACATACAGCCACAAAAACCAAAAGACTACCCAATAAAATACGATTTTTCATGCTCATGAGCTAAAAAGGGCCAATGGTGCTTGAGGAAAGGTCAGGGGTCACCTTCATCTTCAAGGGGGTCTATCCCACTCATTTCTAGCTTCATATTTGCAGCCGTGGATTCACAGTTTGTAATAATCTTTACTTTACACTGAGCTCAGTTCATCTAAAATAAGCTTCTTTTTTCAGCTCCTCCCTTTTTCAGTCAACCTTCTGATTGGCAGCCCCTCACACAGGAGGTTTAAAGAGCAAGTGGGTGGGGCTTCTACGTGGCTGAGGATGACTGTATGAGGACGTATCCTCTCTGTTACTCGTACACACACTGTATGCATGAAACAGAAACAATCGAAGCTGCCCCTCAGCCTTCAGCACATTTACGAGCAGCAGCACTGTGTGATGTTCATGTTCTCACCATAATAACGGCGACCACCAGCGCGGCGATGCCGATCAGGTAAATCTTATCGTGGAACAGCTCGTTGATTCTGTCGTGGCAGCTCTGCAAAGCAAAAACAAAACATTCAAACACGCCACCTACTGGAGATCAGAGAGAATGCATCCTGCTCTCCTGCTGCTGCTTCACATTTTTACAAACACCACGTGTCGGCATTTCTTTATTCTCTTAAACCACGATTTCATTTGAGGAATCTTTTATTTTAAGTTTTGGATAGATGGAGGAAAAACTTTATTGTTTTAATGTTTAGGAATTTCACTTCCTGTTTGTGGACCAGTCTCAGGCTGCGTTCACTCTGCAGGTCTTGATGCTCAATTCAAATTATTTGATCAAATCCGATTTTTTTTGTCTGCTCGTTCACACTACAAATAAAATGCGACAGCAAACGCGCTCTAGTGTGAACGCTCAAAGCGGCCGCGTGCGCAAAAGAAGACGTCACACACAACGCGCTCTGTTTACACCCAGACCAACAGTATGTTTGACTGATGGCCTCAATATAAAGACTTCGGACTTTACGTTAAGTTATAAAGTTATTGTGTTTTCTACAGTTGGCCTAATAATGATCCTTATTGCTGTTTTAGAGGATAGCTGCAGATTTCTGTCAGAATCTGCAGATTATACAGAACAAATAAAATGTTCACGTTTCTCCAACGTTGTTCCCAACAGTTGTACTGGATGGACAGGAAGTGTTCACGATGTCTTCTCCGGCGCTGATAATCGGCGTCTGTCTTGTGTCAGTGACGTAAAAGGCGGATTTAATGCGACGTGACCATCAAACAGCAGTCGCTTTCTGAAACATCGGATATGTATCGGACACCACATACGAAAGTGACCCAGATCGGATTTAAAAATATCGGATTTGTGCCGTTCACGCTGTCATAGCATGATCAGATAGATGGTCGCAGAGGGTCAAAAACGCCGGATTTGATGCGCTTTCGCCTGCAGAGTGAACGTTGCCATAGAGACAGCTGATCACACATCATCTGTGAGCTTCTCTCTTACAGCCACCTCAGCTCAGCTCACACACACTCATTTATTTATCAGTCATTAATATTTCAGCTCATTTATTCTGTAACACTGCTTTCATTTATTCATGCTAACGCTACTTTAGCTTCCTGCTGTGTCCACATGTTCAGCGCGTTAGGCCCCACCTCCTCCTGACGAGTTTCCTCTCACAGAAATCAGCAACAGACAAAGTAAAAAGTGCTTCTTTTAAACACTTCTGTGTTCTGGCAGCCGCGCAGCTCTGCACCGACCTCGGGTCACTTCAGTAACGCTGCCAACAAGTGCAGTTAAGCCTCGTGTGAAGCTGCAGGCTGCATACAGAACAGCCTCCTGCAGATCTTTGGACTCTGAGGCTTTTGCTGTCTCGATGTTCTCTAAATCTTTTGTCCGGCAAGTCTTTACTTACACTGCTGGCTATGTGGTAAAAAAAACGTGTGACACAAACTGAAAATGGAGAAGATGTACCTTCAAAGTAAAAGTCTCAAAAGATGTGACTTTTACTTTGAAGTGAAATGTTCTCTGTTTGTGGAGAGCAGCTGCACAGCCTCAACCACTTCCATTCATTTAACTGAAACTTAAATATACGTTTTTATCTCAGTCTAGCTCCATTCACCTCTTTTCAGTGGACTAAAAGCGCCCCCTGCTGTGCTCTCGGGTGAACTGCAACTACTTTCGATACCACGGTTTAACAGGAAGTGGAACAGCCCCCCGTGACTGCGTCAGGTTACCAAGAGCAGATTATTTTACAGCAGCACAGGAGAACCCGCCAACGCTATCAATGCACCGAGAGGCTCGTGTTCCTGATGGTGAGACAGGACGCAAACATGAATGACCCCGCCCCCTGCGTTTGCCTGGTGCAAGTATACAGCAGAGAGAAAATGTCTCACAGCAAAGTTTATGGAGCTTTTTTGACTAACTTCATGATTTCTGCAGAGAGCTAAATGATGGTCCTGCTTGTTCTCCCTGTGAGCCAGAAGCATGCGAGCAAAGATTAAACCACTGACATAAATGATTGTACTTACCGTGAATGTATTACTGGGGCAAATATTGGTAATTCCAGTTATGTCTGTGAGCTGTGTAAGGAGGTTAGTGCCTGTGCCTTTACCGCAGCAGCTCAGCTGAAACACAAAGACAACACAGTAAAGACCTGGAAACCTCCGACAAACAAGCACCACAACTGCAGTTCCTCTAATGTCCAGCAGAGGCAGCAATGAGTCCGTCCCCATAAGCCCCTTTTCCATTTGACCTACTCGGGTCGACTGGTTTTCCATTATAACCCAGTAGTACCTTGTTTGCACGCCTTTCGTCATAGCAAAGCGTCGGCGCATCTGAACGTTCCAACAAAGGTGGACATCGAAGCTAATATTTACCTGCTGCTCGGTCTGTAGGTGTTCGTCACACTCGGGGGATCACGGCGTTGTTTTGCAGCCGAGTTTCAAAAATGGCAGTTTTGATTTTTGTGAACGAGACACTCTCGTGACTCGTCGAGTGACGCTACTGACCAGCCAATCGGTTGCGTGCGGTCTGACGACATCACATTTTAGTACCTGTCTGGATCACTTAGAACCCCAGCAGGTACTAAAAGACTACCTGGTTTTTAACGGAAAACCCTGGAAAACGTGGCAAACTGTGCCAAGTCAGTCCGAGTAGGCACTCTAGGAAAAGGGGCCGCAGACTCCCGTGTTACAACTTTACAGCAGAAACAAACATGTTTACAACCTGTTACACAAACCGTTTGGTCTCTGTGGATCGTTTTCTGTACAGGGGAGGATGTTTCTATAACTCACCTGTTTAAATCCTATTAAGGTTTAAAGTTTGCACTATTAGGGGCGTGGCCTCTTTGACAGACAGGTGGATGTAGCCGCTAGGTGTAGCTGCTAGCTGCACCTTAGCTAACTGCACCGCGTTTGTGCTGTTGGAGCATTTTTAATGACATCATGTGACCAAAAACACGACTGCTGTGAGGTCAGTGTACTAACAGGCCGTCACAGAGGGCGGAGCTCCGGTTTGCTGAGTGAAGTTTGAAGATTCGGACTTAATGTTTGTGATTAGCAGGTTCGTCTTAGTGAGGGTCTCGTGTTAGCTAGCATTAGCCAATAACTCAGGGCTCCACCCTCTTGTGAAAACGCGGTGACAGACGAGACGCTCCAACAGAGGGCGTGGTGCAACCCGACGTCTACCTGCATCTCTGATTTGGAGTTTAGTTTCTGCTAATTCCAAAGTCAGCTCACCTGGTATTCCCAACCTTTATTCCCAAATTCAACACGTCCAAGTTGTACGTGACCTTCAAAGCATGCGTGTGATTATCACAGCTCTGCCGCTTTTCATGCACCGTGTTCTCAGTGTTTGCTGTACTTTAAGGTGACGAGGTTCAGGACGCCTCAGAAAAACCTTTACTTTATAAGAAAATATTCACATGATCATTTTGTTATATATCTGCGATGTACCGTCTCATGGAAGGCCTTCAGGACAAGGGTGGCGGCATTGTTCTTTTCCTGCATATTGCTTTTAGTTGCGCTGTCGTAGGCGTTGTCGTAGAAGTTTTTCATCTCCTTTGTAACCTGCAAAAGTTTAAATAAAGTTATTAGTTGTTGCCTGGTGACAGAAGCACACTAATGACTAATAACTCACACAAGGTAAAGAATATCGAGATATGAATTTTGGGTCATATCCTCAGTACAGTCTGTGGTTGCTGATTATATGAAGCATGTTTAATCCCAGGTGTCAACCAGGACCAAACGCTTCCCGATCAGAGAGCGGCATGCCCGATTTAACCTGCAGTGTCAGCGTGCACACTCACCATGTCCCTGTTCATGTAGCCCCAGATTCCAGCTGCAACCTCACAGGCGAACAGGATGACGAGGCAGGCGAAGAACTGCAGGACGGGCCAGAAACACAGCAGGTGAGCGCGAGCGTCCTTCTACCTGAGCTCCGACTCAGAGAACACGTGCAGGTAACCGTGCAGCTGCTGCGTTTATTATAACTTTATTATAATTTACAACCTTGCAATTTACACTTGTCAATGTTCACAAGTTGAACAGACGCAGGCAACGTAGAAGCACAAACTTCAGATAATATTAAATAAGACGATCTTAGCAGCAGTAAAAAGTGAACCTCTGCTGGATTATTGAAACAATAAGTGTGTATGGGCCATCGCTCACTGAACAAGCCTCTCTGCATCCACAGAGCAGATGTTATTCCCTCCATCTGATCAATCTTACTTTATCAATCCACATATTACATGAAGGCCGGTCATGATTTAATGGTGAAACACTTTAGTGCTGCTGTGAGCAAGATTCTTACGAGAGACTTTGTTTTGCTGTTGGTAAGACTCACTAACTGTTGGTTAATGGTTGTTGGGAAACTGTAGTGAGCTTTATTCCAAACTGAGCTAATGTTTGGACACGGCCAGGATATGTGTGAGTGGGTTGCTAAGTGAGTACCACAATTTCACCAACAAGTGTCGGGAGTTGGTTCATTTTAGCAACGATGTCTGGGGGTCTAAAATATCTCATGACCACCTTCCATTTAAATTCTCTCCACAGCCCAGAATTAGTCACCAGATGGGAAGAGGTGTTCGGTGAGTCTCAGAGGAGACTTGGGCCTCACCGAACACCTCTTCCCAGGTGTGCTCTGAGACTTGAGTGCCAGTCTCCGCTTCCCACCTTGCCTTAATATCCAAAGTTGCACTTGTATTGAAACTCATAAATGAGTTATAGAAATGACTGATCAGTTTTGGGGAGGAATTACTTTGAAATATTTTAGAGATATTTCCTCGACGGCTGAGGGCTCCAAACTTGCCTCCAGTCTTTATGTTTTGTCAAAAACTCTAAAACAGTCCGAAGAAGGAAGCTGAAGCCGACGTCTCAGCTGTTCAAATGAGCTCAGGTCCTCACAGCATGACGAAGTTTATGACGCCTGTTATTTGACCTGCTCTGAAGTCTTCCACAGTAGGAGAAAAACCCTGCAGGGAGGAGAGGCTTGATAACATTGAAATTTCTTTTGGAAGACCAAACGTTTGTTTGATTCTGCGCCAAATCTTTAGTGTGAGCCTCGTCCGTTCCCCGTACGCACAAGTTAGAAAAAAGCAGGGAGTCCAGTGATCTGTCACATATTGTCTTCTCAGTGTTTAGCCACTGAGTTTCAGACCGATCCCGTACAGTCAGGAGTCCCGTAGAACAGCTGACCCCCCCCCTGCAGTTTGACAGTTTTAATGTTTGAAACTTGATCCTTGGACGTTTGCCTCGCCGTATCAATTTGGAAAAAAGTTTATCTAAATTATCAAATGTACAGTTGGGAATGTTTACAGGCAGCATCTGAAAAAGGTATAAAAGTCTCGGTAACACATTCGTTCTATACTCTCCATGCGACGCAGGAGAGACGGAGGCAGGACTGTGCATCGCTCTAAATCTGTTTTTATTACTTTAAACAAGTCTGGGAATAAGGAAGGGATTTGAATTCCTAAATGCTTGATACCTTCATCAGGACGTAGCGTTTTTTCTCTGAAAATGTCCAGATTCAACTTTTTGGGATTTCCTTGCCTGGATGCTTGAGCATGTGTCCTGATATCTTACAGTTTATTTCGTGCTGTGTGGGCCTGCAGATGGAAATGAGTCGGGAGCTAAACCTGGTGCGAGGCATCTTTTCACATCATTATTCGTGCACCGTCTCACACAAAGAAGTATTAAAACTATTAGCAGGTGTGAAAGCCCACAGGGAAGCTTCAGCGTGACTCACAGTTCCCAGCAGGCACTGCGACTCCTGGATGGCGCCGTAACAGCCGAGGAAGCCGACCACCATCATCACCGCGCCGACCGCGATCAGAATGTGGACACCTAGACAGAAGCACAGACGGATGGTCGTTACGAGAGGGGTGGAAGTCATCCTGGACCACAGACTCACAACATCTCATTTTATAACACGTGTAGTGACGCGTGGCGGACAGCAGATGGCGCACTTTTGTTTTCATGCCAGGGTGGTGAGTCATGTTCCTGTTATGTTCACACTTTTCTCGGTTTCTAACACAAAGCTGCAGCTCTGTAATGTCACACGGATCCATCGTCGGGGCACCAAACAGACTTTTCCTAAAGCTTCCACAGAATTCCTGGTAAAGACGGACGATGGGAACAAAAGCGTGAACGAGCTCCAGTCTGTGAGCGTGTCTGTTATCAGTGAAGTTTTTACAGCATCAGAGAAAGTCTGCATGTTAGAATCAACATGTTAAAGCTCGTACTAAAGAACAGCATGATCCCAGTTCACAGGAGCAATTTCACTGGAAAAATCTGGAGACGCACAAATCTTCTTATTTCCTGCAGATTCTCACTTTCAGGCTTTAAGGCCAACAAATACATTTGACACCATTCAGCTCAGAATAAACACAAAGAAGAAGAAGAGACGACAGACCCTCGGAGCAGCTTCGGACACAAACAGGAAGTCGAACCCAAACAGATTCCAAATTGTCGTCCCGGCAAATGTAATCAAACACTGAGCGAGACCGCCGCAGCGGGGACGGCGGTGTCGCCATCACGGGCGACAGCAAGAAAGAAAGGCCGATAAATCAGTGACAGCAAAGTTCAAGATGACGGCCGCGGCAACAGCTCGCCTTTGTAAACACGCACAATGCTGCTTTTCACAATAAAAGCCTAAAGAACTACATTAATGTTTATTCTCAACAGCTGTGGAACCCACAGACTGTACGTAGATGATGGAGCGCCACATTTAGACCCACCTTACAGTTAATGGCATCAACGATAAATAATAAAAAACAAAACTCTGAACTAAAATGTAAAAAAAGAGAAAATTTCTGAATAATTATCTGAGCTTCAAAAATTTCCTTTGAGTTTAGTTTCAGTCGTCTCCTTCTTTATTAAAATAACACGCACGCTCAACTCGGATGCTTTTATTTGAGAGGTTCACCCCGGCCTCCTTCCTGCTTGTCAGCTCACACATTATTGAATTATTGGACCACTAACTGCTGCCCACCCCCTTTCTTTTTTTAAGCTCGGAGCCACAAAACTGCGGGTAATTTATAAATCGATATCTTGCCAAGTGCTCCCTCCATCTCTTCCATTACGGCTCTCCGGTGTCAAACTCCTGGCGGTTTGCCGCTCTTCATCCCTCGCTCTCCTGGCGCTCGGCCATCAGTCCGTCCTCTCTGCCTAATGCTTTCTCTCATTCAGAATTATGCTCTCAACCATGCATTTACTTAAATGTCTCTTCCTGTCTCTCCTTATTTAATCCTCTTATGGCTTTGCTTCCATTACAGCCTCTCTGCTCCATCCTTCAGCTGCTCCGTAGGAAGAGGAGCTGATGGAATGTGAGATCCTCGGCTTTGTGCCGAGATCTTCTCAGATGTTACAGACAAACGTCCGCAGGAAGAATCCGTGGTTTCTCGTTTTTATTTGTCTGGAGAAAACATAAAACTGCATCTGTACAGGCCCCTCGCTCCCAGCTCCACTCCTTCCTCGCCAATCAGATCGCCGTTATCCTCGATTCGGCCATCTTGGGCAGACTCCACCACCTCTGCGAGCTGCAGCAGGTGGAGAGGTGGTTGTTGAACCACTACGCCGAGCAGAACCAGAACCTGGACCAACGGAAGGACGTGGAGCCCGCCAAAGAGGGACCGCTGTCTCTAATCCCACAGGAATGACTCACGGCTGGTCAGAGTGTGAAAGCCAAACCCGACACTAGGGCTGTGCGATATGACCAAACGCTCATATCCCAACAGACATTTCTCATCCCGATAACGATATAAATCCCACAATAATGCATTTTCTGTAAATTCTGTGAATCTCGGGCAGCTCGACTGGCGTGAAGTGTTTCCAGCTGCGCGTCGTGTAGCTGGAGTCGAGTGTTTTGACCGATGCAAACGGCCGCCGTTCTCTTAGTGAGTGTTTATTACACGGCGTGCTGCAGTCTGAGGTTTATTTTTTAGCACCCGACGGCTCTTTTTGCTTCTCATCCATAAACTCTCTGCATACTCTGTCATGTGATTCTTGCGCAGGTGGTTGAAGAGGTTTGCAGTGTTTGAGTCTGTGGTGGGGGCCGGTTTCCTGCATAATTTGCATAGTATCAGTTTTCTGGTCCGTGTTTCATAACCAAACCACGTCCAGTATAGGGCTGCCACGGTTACGTCGACTATCAAAATCGTCGACGCCTAATTTAATAGTCGACGCGTCACTTGAAGCTTTGTAAGATCCTGAAAGACGCAGGAATAAGTAGGTTGTAAGAGTGTAATAACGGACTGAAACAGAAGATGGCAGCACTGCATCTACGAGGATGCCAGCTGCCGTTAAACCCCGAAGAAGAAGAAGAAGAAGAAGAAGAAGAAGCAACCTCCGGCATCGTAGCTCTGTCCAAATTCAAAGACTCCTCCCAATCCTTTCCCCAGATTTGAAGGATGGGTCTGGTGTAAAACCTTCGTGACCCTTTCCATATCCCAGGATTCATAGCGCGGCCCAGCCAATTCCCGTTTCCAACAATGGCAGCAGCGAGTTAGTTTTAAAATTACTCTTACTAATCTTTCTGGGTCACAAAATAAGCTTTTAACATATTTTCAGGCGAGAAAGTAGCTGTGCAAACATCAAATATCTGCTCGGTTTATCAAGACACCGCATATTTGCAAAAGTGCTTCGACGTTTTCGGAGACGTCTGCTACCCACCAGCTCGACAGCTGACCGGGAGCTCGAGGGTCACTGAAGGCGCCCGAGAACCGCAAACTCCCAACAAATCGTTTTCAGATCACCGCCGTCTTTCGCTACTCGGGTTAAACGTGATATATAAGTCACTTAGATAACCTAAAAATGTTATTGTTGGGCTTTTTTTAGGGTTTTATTTGTTCGTGAGTAAATCGGTTTGGCTGAGATTAAAGTTATTAGAATAAATAAAACTTTATTAATCCCCCGGGTGGTTTTCACACAGCTGAATAAATGTCAAACAGAAAAGTGTGAGACGGTCGCGAGTTTACGCCAGTGTCCTGTTATATTTTAGACAGCAAGGAGCAGACGGCCGTTATTAAACTCCACCGAGACAAGCTGGAAATTTAATTAAAACTTTGATAAACTATCATCTGCTCTTTATTTTGAGTTAGCATACACTGAAACACTTCAAGCTGTAAGCTACTGATAGCAGATACATGCTGGTTGTAATAAGCTGTTTCATGTCTAATGGATGCATCATCGACGAATCGCAAAAACAATCTGTGGCAGCCCTGGTCCAGAACCAGAACAGCCTGTGGACGCTGTCTCAGGGTGTTGGCCTTTTGGAGCTTCAGGACTTTGGTTCCTTTACATTTGTTTCGTTCCTTCATCCAGTTAAAAATGTAGCCGTGGTTCCACTTTCAGACTGATGGGTTCCTCTCCTAGTCTGAAGTCCCCCCACAGACTTCTCCTGGAAACCTTTACTTCGTCTGCTCCAACAACTTTGATTCAACAGTCCAGAAAACAGACGGTACCTTTGTGAGTCCACAGACGTCACCCTGACAGTCACTGTCTGTCAGTAGAGCCTGTAAGCTCTGCTCTTTGCCTCTGCCTCAGTCTGATTACAGCGGCACGACCGGCTTCTCCCCTGTGAGCAGGACTTGGTGGTGCTGGGTGGAGATCTGCCTCCACCCGGCTCTCTGTGGGTTAGCCTTAGATTTTTTATCATTTGTCTTTTCTGATGAGCACAGAGTCGCTGCTTCCGCCGTCGTCCGTTTGTTTCTCCGCTCGCTGCTGAAAATAACCTCGGAATTTCCCTCTGACGATCAAGCCTTTGTAACCCAACCTCCAAATATTTTACCCATGTGTGAAGTCATCTGGGGATTGTTCATCGTACGGTGGAAACCTTCCCTTCTGCTGCTTCCTGTTACTTTTTTCTTTTATTACAGCTATTGTTAATACAGTGGTCCAGCCTCGGGAGGAAACCCTGAATCCACAATGGAACAAGCGATAAAGACCTTTAAGGTGGAACTTCAAGGTTGATGCTAGAAACGCAGACATGGCGGTGCCCACACTTCCTGCCTGAACCCTTTCCCCCATAAAGACGACCTCAATGACAAATTGTGAAACCTCAGCATGCATCAATAAAGTCTTGCTTTGGCGACCATTAGAGCAGTTTGTGCGTTTTTCTCGGGGTATCTGCAGAGAGCACCCTCGCTCGCTCCTGAAGCACAGCCAGTCGTTCTGGTCTATAAGCAGCCTCAGGAGAGCGTCAAGGGTTACTGAAGCCAGTCTTCAAGAGTCTATGACAGTCGACGGCATTTTAAAATCTGTGACTGCATTAACCAGCTGCAGGCAGCGCCTTCACTCGCTCAGTGAAACCAAAATTACACAAACAGCTGCGATAAGCAGACGTGGTTTCTTTGGTTGGAAAAGGAAGTAGAACAAAAAGCCAAAAGGGGAATTTCTGATGTGATATTTGATTTCGTGTCATTTAAGAAAACTTCTGTATTCCCAAGAACAGAAATGACAAACGTTTTTAAAATCCTTTTTAAACAGCGATGACGTGATGCGTGGGCATCAGCGAGTTTCCATAAATAAATCTGCACGTCTTTGGATGTGCGTTCCCGGGAACGTTTAATCTGGAGGTTTCTGCATCAGAGCGACGAGTCTCCTGCAGATCCACCTGCAAAGGTTGGATGCTCTCTAATAAGAACTAGCCACAGTGACGCAGTCACATGACTAACCGGGTGGTGGTTTCATTTCTTTATTCCCAGTTCATGATGCACCATTTTTGTACCTTTGAGCACGAACCCAGAAAGGCACTAAAAATAAAACTACAGAGCAAAGTTAGTGGATGTGACGCAGGCTGTTGTCAGGGGAGGTTTTCAGTAAACGAATTCCCCACGTAGTGGAAT